AAAAAATTGATCTGTTTTATAATTTGAGAATAACAATGGGCAGGTAATTGAAATAAGTCAAACAGTCGGCATTATTTCCGTGTATTTATTCAGTTCTGTCTTTTTTATTGACTTGGACCTAGTTGAGGCTCACCAGGTTTCAGGTTTACTAAAAACCTGTCCATTGAAGTTTGATTTTGCCTTCTTCTAAGAATGTTCCTGAAGTGTGACATTGTCTGGTCATTCCACACCATACTGTTACGGCTTGTTGACTGAGGAGTGGCGCTTTGTTTCAGTCGTGAACAGGGTATACGCGGGTACGCGGTGACTCATCCCGACCCATACAAGTTATAGCAAGCACGTCGTATCCCAAGACATTTTTTTCTCATCAAAACTCGACGTATACCAAATTCGACGTATTCCAAAGCTGTCGTATACCGAGGTACCACTGTATATTATTAGTTTTTTTAATTATGCTGTGACATGTATAAAACATAGCCATCAATACGAAATTGGTGTTTTTTCAAAAGCACACCTTTTAAACCTCCCAAAAAAAAACATGGAAATTGAACACAATAAATTGTTGCTCAACTTATTTGGCCTAACAATGCAATTGGCAAACGCTAAGTTTCAAGAAAGTTTCACTAGTGACTGATCCTTAGAACACCGAACAGCATTCACACTACGGCTATTTGTACAATGTTTATACACTGTCAGCATTTAAGGCACACCAATACTATTCCAACGCCTTTGGCCGCATGCGCACAGAGACATTAAAGGCCTTACGCCTCAGATTTATAAAGCCACCCCCCAAAAATACATATACCTCCTATAATCACCCAGGAATGTCTGTCCTTAATGCTCGTGACGTCACTCCACATCGAACAGCCCCCCGCATTAATAATCATGATAAGGTGACGTCCTCCAAATGGACACCACCGTTTATAATAATTAGCGGCTGACGTCACTCCACATGGGGGGCCGAGGCGCCTCCTCCCCCCGACCCGGCGTCAACTCACAACCCTCACTACAAAGGCAGAACTCTCACGTCACGCGATCTCTGTAACGCTATTGAGACATCAAGGTAAAAAGGACGTCATGATGAACAAGGGATTATAACCTTAAAATGAAATTGGTCTCTGTCACTGCGCCCTTACAAATTGCACACGCATTAATGCAATGAATATCATGTCGCGGTCTGCTTTTCGCTTGCAAGTTTCAGATTTACTGCAATACACCCGTCCTTAGACGGGCTAAAGGCTAGTACAGAATAATCATGGATGAAACGCACTACTGTAGCACTTTGATAGATCCCATATGTTGCACACTCGAAATGAAGGACGTAGGCAGGTGCTCGGAATCGAGGTCAAATACATTTATTGTGGTTAATCTGTAAAATGAAACAGCACGTGTGTCACACACAGCAATACTCTTAAGTTTTTTCGGTAAAGTCACGTAGGTAAAAAAAAAACCAATAATAATAATAATAAAAGAAAATAACTCAATTAAATCACGACGTTTCGGAGGCAACACAAGTCTCCGTCTTCAGGTGGGGCCGTCACAGCCAAATTTACTGTATCACACAGCAATCTTCACTGAGTCGCCATTAACCACGTGACTGGTCAGGTTAATCAATAACCCTGCCAGCCCCCCACAGGCCCAACTCAGTCATTACATGCTGGTGTACACACGTGCATTGATGTACTGCACAACACCTACGGACTTATTAAAAGAGTGGTCCATTCCTAATGTGCCACACATAGGTTAAAGCCAGAGTATCACAAGTGTGTATTGCTACCAATACACACTTGTGTCGGAATTGATATAGTTTTGTTCGGTTCAAACGTTGGTTCATCCTTAAAATTCGCGCATCTTCAAATATATTGAAAGGAAATAACCAAGGTGAATAACAATGAGGCATTTGGCACCATTGGGCATGGGTGGTGTGACAAATGTTAAGGGGGAAGAACTGAAAATATTAAGAGGGGTCCAAAAAACTATAACAGCCCCTGGGGCGAACCTCAAACTTAAACCGCCCCTGCCCACACCTGTGAATTATACAGAACCATATAGTTTTTGTGGTTGATGTAGGTTCAACATCTCAAAGTAGTATTCGGCTTGTGGAAACTCAGACAAGTTCTCACTTGCTTTCGCGGATCACAAACGTGCGCATGTATGTTCTCTTGCATACGTGTGTGCCCATGCATAGGACAAAGTGTGCATATTCAAGACTCGTTTTTTGGTATATATTTCAAGATCGTTGAGCAATGTATAACACACAGCTTACGTTGTTCAACAGGGTCAAGTGTATACAATTTATTTAAGGTATTTGTCTCGGAAATACTAAGCAAACATGAAGCAGAGAAGCAATCTTTCTACACAGTCCAGTACTTGACCCGTAAACACACCTTGCCACCCATTAGGGCAAAGGGCATTGCAGCATTAAAACAGTGTGTTTCTTACAGCCATTGTGAGGGCATGAAGATAGATGAAGCCTAGAAGGGTGTGATCAAGCTGAAATGTTGTGCATCCACATTCCAAAGAAGTTTCGTTGATACAATTTATTTATATCTTGAGGGTGCAAATAAATCCACTGAATCAGCAGTAAAAGAGAACTGAAAAAGCCCAGCTATTATATATAATGTTTGTGATACCCTAATACTTCAGTAAAACAGTCTAATGGTTCACTGAAGCATTCTGCAAAGGTACATGTGCATAAACGCGTGTAAAAATTATAGTAATTGTCATTGTGTTCATTTTTAAAAATCATATTAATGTAATGCTATAGGTACAAAGCACACTTAGGAGAAAACGCATAATGACGTTATAATTTAGTATACATTGCATAACACTGTATTTGATTTATAGTTGTGTTACTTTAAACATCATTGTAAGAAACTGATAACACTACGTATGAGTTGTTATTCCTTTTGAAGATCTACAAATATAGTTACGTGCTTCGTTTACTTATCAAACATCATTATACTATAAGAGCATGCCCAAAAGCCCACCCACATGTGTACCCTAAATGAACACTGTATAATGGTGCCCTCAAGCACAGCTGTGTCAGCTGTTTTGCAACACGCTCAATTAGAGGAGAATCTGGTGAGAAAGGTATTTTTAGTTTTCAGGTTAGACCCATTTGCTCTATGATACTCTGTTTTCATGAAATATAAACTGACTTGTGCTTATATAGGACCTAATTGTAGCCCAAGGAACCATAGACATGTGTTAAATAAGAGCAGCATTATCACTGAAAGTTAATACATTGCGGGTTGTTCTAAGGAAGAAGCAATACAGTTCTGTAATGTAATGAAGACACACATTAAAGCCTTTAATAATGTAAGCCTCAATCTTATTTTAAGGAGGCTCATGCTTGGGATATTTGTCCGATCTGTTGTTGAGTATTTTACATCTGGGAGGAAATTGGTGTGCCCAGAGAAAACCCAAGGATATGAGGAGATAAGACAAAAATCAACACACCCCTAATGAGCAACACTTTATCTTGCAGCCATTTCCTGGCTGGGAGGTGACCAGATGGCAATAGAGCAATTGTACGTCCCCTTGTGTTCGTTGGGTTTTCTCCAGGTACTCGTTTCCTCCCACATGCCAAACACCCATTCGTGGAATTGGTTCGAACTTCCCAATGCAGAAGCCCACTGAAAGTCTCGAGACATCGTGAATACAGTGTTTATTTCCTGGCTACAGGGTTTATGCATACACAGTCACATACGCCACAACTCGTCACCGTGTGCTCTTTTATTTTGTATCCTTTTGCAGTCAATATTAGATTTCATATTATTGTAGCCCTCATTGTTTTTACCTAAACGCGATTCAATAATTGGCAGAATATTCGTTGGACTGTGAACACAGTATTGATGGAATATTTCTTGAGATCAGTTCATGTGCTGGAGCAGATGAATTGTGAAATCGCATGACTGTGAGAGATGGCAACGGGGTAAGATAATCCATAATACAGATATTTTGGGTTAGATCGCGTAAATATATAAATGTGTCGTGAAACCCGCCACCACCCGACACAGCCAATTATTAAGGTTTGTCGCGTTAACAGAACTTGCCAATTTGTTACTATTACAGCGCACCGATGTGTTGGAGAGCCAAGCCACAACATTTACAATCTGACTCAGATTGTAAATGCTGTTGCTTTGCTCTCCAATACACCGGTGTGCTGTACTAGTAACGAATTTCCATGTTCTGTTTACGTGACAAACCTTACTAATTGGCTGTCCGGTTCTGATGGGTTTAACGACAGATTCATATATTTACGCGATCTAACCCAAAACAAGTGTATTATGGATTATATTGGTCGCTAAAGCCGACGTGTTAAACTGGGGTAAGAGAAGCCATTCATCCAGCAGTAGACAGACCAGACGATTATGACGGTGACTCATTGGGATGCAAAGACAACTCAATGCATTTGTCAATTACACGGAGGCCTTCAAAGGATTCGTTTTTATAATACGCGACGTTTCGGGCAATGACCCTTGTTCATAGCACATTGAGATACAGTTGCATTTAGAGGCTCAAATTTTACTGCAAAGTGCAAGTACTGTATCTGTGCATTACTCTGCATTAAAATCGTTCAAAAATAGATGGCAAAATTCACGTTTCTTCATCATCGTGTGATGATGATGATGTCCTTGTTGAAGAACTGCTCATCAATGGAGTGGCCAATGCGACATCAGTGTGATGTAGAACACACACGCGGAGTGCAGGTGTGCGTGTGTGTGCGTGGCAAGGCAGCAGGCATGGCAAGCAAGAGTAGGTGGCAAATGGGCACGGTGAACGCGAGAGAGGTGGAAACAAAATCCATGAGACTTCATTTTTTTTTTAATCTTCATTATTATATTCGCATTATTCTTCTTCGCCTATTCCTCCTCCTCCACCGTTCGCGATTGGCTCATTGCCGGGCATAAAACGAAATGTCCGGGAATTGTGCCCTGGCCAGCGATTGGCTGCGTCTTAGCCGTGTGGCTTTGTTCGCGCGCAGGAATGGGAGCTTGGTGGGGGGGGTGGCGATGTGATGCGGTGTGCCGTGCGTGCGCTGCGTGAATCACTCCTGGAGCTCGCTTGAAGCCACCAACACAGCAGCAGCAGTAGCAGCCGCCACCGGCAGCCAAGGCGGAGACAAAGGGGAGCCACCACCACCATCACTGCGCTCAAGGACAAGCAGAACCCGTGGTAAGGACGAAGATGCCCCCCCTCCTCCCGTCTCTCTCTCCCTTTGTGTTGTAGCCTGTAAGCCTTTACGACTGCTTGGGTGGGAGGTATCTGTTATCGAGCAGCAAACCTATGAAGGTTCCGGTGCGTGCACACAAGGGAGGTTGCGTGGGTGGGTGACCAACAAACACCCCACACCCAGCCGCCTTTGTCTCCCCACTGCTGCCGATGTTTAAACGTCGCGCCAGGTGCTCGTTTAATAATGAGCCGACCGAAGGAGAGAGTCCGGGACCGGTGGTGGATGATTCGTCCCACCCGTTGTCGGTGGCCGTGAGCGGGGATCGAACTGGGGTTGGGCCGGTTTCGAAGCGCAGTGCCGCTAACCACTGCGCCACCGCTCCCCCCCCCCACCCACCCTTGATGCGAGATAGAGGTTGTGCACGTAATGGCATTGTGATGTAGCAGCAATCTGCTCGATTGTAAATGAGACGGGGTGTGAATGTAAATGATGCATTGAATACTGTGGCGTGTAGGCCAAATTTGGCAGTGCGTTTATAAAATAAAACGTAAGAGTCCCGTTGTAAATCTACTGCTGGATGAACCGTCTTCACGCTGGCGAAAGGAAGGGGTGATGTATAGCGGGATGCATGGTCGGTTCGGATGTTTCTCGACACTGATGTTAGCCGTGGCTGGGAATCGAACTCGGGCGACTGGGATCATTCGATGTTGTGTGTGTGTCCGTACACATCCTGTGTGTGAAATTTAATTTAATGGTTTCGATCCTGTTCATTCTATACCGGGGGGGGGGGTCTTTGTTTTATTTTGTTATAGGTACGGCTGTGAGCGTATAAATAACCCGTTTTTTTATCCCATAGCCAGTGTTGGCGTATGATCGGTCAATTTAAATATCCCTTATCCTACAGCCCTGTCCGCTTCTATCGAATAGGCACGGAGTGGTGGCGCAGCGGTTAGCGCACCGCGCCCTACGAGTTCAATTCCCGACCACGGCTCACGTCAGTGGCGAGTGATGTCTGAACCGGATCTGTGTCCGCCACGCCTCCCCGGCGTTCGTATACTGACCAAAAGCGGTGAAGTATGGCTCTGACAAACCCCCAGGACAGAGCCGTCGTGGATAAGACACGAGGTTGCAAAATAACCGCCTTGTGCTCTATCATACGGTAACAGCGTGCAGTATAACATGCATTGTTGTGTGTAGCCTATTGCATGTATAGATAGCATGTTTCTAGATATGATGGTAATTAAAAAAAATAATGTGCACTAGTGTATGTTGATAATAAAATACAATATAGAACACGTACAGTTCACGTTTGTACAAGTACATATCATTCGTAACCTGCACATTTTTCCATACATTTCACCTATTTGATCCACCGTCAATAAATCTCCACGGTATAAAAACTGTACCCTTAATGCATACAAGAGATGCTTTGATATGTAATGCTTGCGATGTATTTTAGTAAAAAAACACCTTGCTGTGTGTAATAACGAAAGGCAACGTGTACCAGGATGTCTTTAAACTTTGCATATCGCTTGCTCTGATATGCATCAGAAACCTGGACGTTGATGAAAAAAAATGCAAAAATAACACCCAGAAAATTGCAAACAAAAACTAAAAATAATCGTGGGAGAGGAACTTTGCTAGGAGTAGCATTGAAAGACAGAGAGAGGGGGGCGACGGAGATTGGAGGAACGTGCGAAGGTTAAAGACGAACATCGTATTGACTGCTTACAACAACACGAAATGTCGAGTAAGATTTGGGCAGGGCACATAGCTGGAGGGGATAGTCACCAACCGTGCTGACCGAGGCTGAAAGGCGGGAGGGAGTGGCAGAACAAGGAGGCAAACGAGGCCCGAGAGGCCGTCCATTGCGGAGATGGAGCGAGGACATCATCCCCGTGCACAGGAGCGAAATGGATTGTTACATCACAAGACCATGGTGGATGGCTTGACCATACTGAGTGCAGGACAGTTTGGTGTTGCTGCACTCTGCCCTCTATTGCCCTTAATGCCAATTACACCTGCATGTTATGGTAACATATCTAAGCACTATCCAGGCTCGGACCTGCTTAGCTTGCGAACTCCGACGAGACCGGGTGCACTCTGGGTCATTTGTGCCTAGGCGTAACCTTCCCTGAGCCAGTTGTGGAAATTCCACATTCATATGGCAGGGCGGCAGTATATCCATGGGACAATCACTGTGGATTTCCCCAGAAAGGGGTGCTCGTTGTATTTACACCGGAGGGTTGATGGGCTGACTTGTGTAAACATAACGCTCATTAAGCAATATGTGACGTGTGTGAATACACACGTGCTACAATATATTCGGCCCTGTTAAATGACCTTTATATATTCTCTGTGCACCATATGCAATATATAAATGACATGGGGCGTAGTACAGTAGTTGATGTGTTTTAATGTGAAAGCTGCCCAACATCATCTCGGTCAAGGGCATTGAAAATTATGCTGTCGAGTGTTGGCAGGGGAATCACCGATGCTCGTGTGTTGTGCAGCATAATTGTCGATTGCAATGTCACGGCGTCCTCCGTGCTCCTTGGCGAGGATTATATGTGTTCTTGGCCTAGGAGCATATAATAATAAAAAGGGTTAAGGGATGTCAATATTGTGGGTTTAGTAACGAATTGGCGTGTTTTGTTTAGGTGACAAACTTTACTAATTGGCTGTGTCGGGTGGTGGCGGGGGTCTAACCCAAAAAAAAATCCACTTCTGGATGGAGCATGTTTACTGAAGAGATGGAGCCATGAAAGCAGCTCGTCTGCAGGTGTTAGCTGGATGATGAACATCTCAGGATTATCGGAGATGATGGCGGCTTGGAGAAGGATTAATTCAGCATTTGATTGACCAATGATGATGAATGGGCATGAACTGCAGGTGGATTACGGATGGAAGGGGATTCATAGAGGTTAGCCCAATTAATGTGACGATTTAAATTGTGCGCGAATGAACAACGTGGAGGCATATATCTTGTTTTACACATCAACAAAGGAATAGCTCCAGATTACAAAATGCCATCATGTCCATACCTCTCCAACACTTTTCATTCATCGCCAGATCCCACTTCTTCCATCACAGTAAATATGAGACTTCTAAAATCTACCATAACATTATCCCACCATCTACTCTTTCCCTTGGTTACCGAATTCATGGAGACCACTCCACTGTCTGTCTTGGGAATAGACCCTTCCTGCACATAGTCCCACCCAGTGCATCCGTTTTTGTCTAATTATAAGTATCTTCTTGGTTCTTTCGGTAAAGTCACGTAGAAGGGAAGTAATAAAATAATAAAAATAAAACATAATAAAATAAAATAATTCTCACGACGTTTCGGCTACAACGCAAGCAGCCGTCTTCAGGTGAAGAATGAGACACTGCCAAGCTAGGAGATTATATATAAGCTGGGTTGGAGGTGGAAGAGCGCCTTAACAAAAAGAATGTGCATATCAAGAGGAATTTTGCATATTCATGGGAAATGCCGAATTCATGGAGACAACGGCGTTGTAGCCGAAACGTCGTGAGAATTATTTTATTTTATTATGTTTTATTTTTATTATTTTATTACTTCCCTTCTACGTGACTTTACCGAAAGAACCAAGAAGATGAATCCCTGCAGTCACGAAAGCTTTAAATCGAAATTTAATTATAAGTAATGGGACCCTGGCAGATGGGCCTAAAGTAGGCCAACAGCACCCACAATAGGGGAGTGGGACCCTGGGTAAATGTCAATAACTAAAGGCAGATGAGCCTCAAGCAGGCTAATATCCACAACTACTGCGAATGAATGAGTGGCTACACCTGGTATATTGTTCTGGTCATCAACTACCACAATGTCAAAGGAATGAATATAAATGTATACATATATGGTCTCTACAATAAAGTAGACCAGTTATGGGACGTTTTGCCTGTGATTCCTGTTATTTGGGGCGACAAAACAGTCCATGGAAAATATCTATCCATCCCTCTCTGATTCCTATTCTTGATGATCTGTATTTTCCCCATAATGCATTGAAAATTGATTTCCGATTCAAATCTTTTTACAGATAAGAGGAGTTATCTTATTTTTAGATGTCAGAATCTATATTCACACTGGAGGAACCCGATGAACTTTACGGCTCATTTTTCACAGATGTCCAGTAGGGGTGGGTCAGAAAGTTACGATGTGCAGTGTGGTTCGCGTCGTTATTTTAATTAAGTGGCAGTTGGGATTTTGTTTTCCAAAATATGCCTGCAATGTTTAAACATTGTTTGCGTGCTCTCATAATAACCACTGTTGACAAATGTTATACCATGTATCGATATTATAGGCTTATGAGATGCGCCATGTCATATTATTGTCTTAATATAAATTACGTTATACCGTACCACAGTGTCACATATAAGCTCCTGTGGTTTTCAAGTGCTTCGGGCATGCATGCATTAGAAGACGTGACGAGCATTGATAAAGTGTGTTTATATGCTGTGAGTGTACATGTATGCACAGTTCTTAAATTAGAACACAACGGAAGTCATTTGTAAATAACATTAAAATGCGGATGCAAGGAGAGTGGATGAGCCCTGGGTGTGCTGGGTGGATGGTGATGGACCATCGATCAATAAATTAGCATGCGCACCGTTACGGATGCCGAGTGTAAAATTGAGTGCGTATTTTATTACTCATTTTAATGTGATGGCTTAACTCAAGGCATTTAAAGATCTGCACTTTCACCGACACTTAAAAATATCACATTTATTTTGGCGAAAACATCCAAATCTTATCATTCGTACACAATACTATACGGTACATTCGATTTCAAATAAACCGGAGGCATACTAAAATTGACTAGGGACTTCTGCAAGCAGAAATTAAAATTGGCAGTTGTGGTGCTAATCTCTTGGTAGGATCGTGTGAAATTGCGATGGCTCGGGCAGGCCTTCATCCAGCCGTGCATTTATCGTGACTGATGAGGCTGCATCTGTTGGCAGTCCTGCAGCAATGGTGGAAATGCCAGATTTCTACCCATAGGACAGGCGCTGTTGGTATATCACGAAATGGTGGAGGCTCACAGGTTGCTGCTTATTTCATTGACCTTGGAGACGTGCTTATAAATTGTAATTACAGATTAATCCCTCTTTTCTGCAATGTAATCTGCACATTTTATTTTCTTTTAGCCAATAATTATTCACAGATAATCTAGAGGCGTCCTGCAATATAGGAAGGGACCCCCTCAGATTATCGCGGATAATAGGATAAATAGGGGTGCAGGAATCGTGGGAAATATGGTCACAGATAAGAGGAGTTCTGTATAGAGCACTGGACTACAACTGCATCACATGATTTGACCGAAGCTGGGAATTGAAATCATAGTTCCATTGATAACCCAAGCTGCTCCAGCACCTTGGCAGAACGGGCACGAATGTTAGTAATACACATTTATATTTACAGCCGCTGCTGGTTAAAAGTCTACCCGTGTCATATTGGTCCTCGGGCTAGTTTGAATATTGTGAACTTCACCTGGCTAATCAGTGTGAGCTCAAGGGAAGAGCCCAGTACTAATTCAGATGTCACGCGTCGCTGATGTTAACCGTGGCCAGGACTGAAACGAAGGTCACCGCGTTCAGAGCGCATTTCGCTAACCACTGCCACTGCTCACTCTGAAACCAATTTCCACAGAAATATGGAAAGTAAGCGAAAACGCCTGCTTTTGTGTATATGTAAATTATTGTACAGTAACACCGACAACTATGTCCAATATTGCATGTTTGTGGATATTTTTGAGCACCTTTTCTTGTTTTCAAAATATTTTGACCACCGCAAGAAGGACATTAGCCATTTTGCAAATGGTGATGACGTTGGATCGGCAATCGCCACCGCTGGCCTAACATTGTCCCCGTTGCAGCATGTCCTCCGGCATGATGTGTGCTGTGCACATTGCGGCTTGAAGACTCTGTGCTATTTATAGCACCAGTGATAGAGTGGTGGGTTCTGCACTGGAGCTGTATCAGCAGTCCAATGGTGACCATAGTGACAGTTGCCAAGGCGATGACAGAATGAAGCTTGAACATACCTAACTGGGAAGGTTATAGAGGGGAAACATAACAGTAGAAGCTGTACTGTGTAATTTTACGGTGAGGATTTTAATACATTTTATTGGAGTAATAAAAGACGAAAAAATATAAATCATCCCTGCTGTAAAGATCACACACTCACATTGCCACTTGCTGGGTACACTAACCCAGCATATTTATATATTTTTCACGTGTTCATTTATTTAACTCCTTCGACAGTCAATGCATCTGCAGATTTGTGAGTGTCTTGAAAGTGAAATTATTTTTTGTAATGGAACCTTGGCTACACAGGCAAATCAAACTGATGGGACTCGTGATTAATATTTATGGGCTACTCTGCCATGCATAGCCATATACTGAATGAGCTACACACAGCTGGTCCTTGTTTTAAAATTTAAGTGACAATAATATCGAGGTGACTGGGTAGCTTGGAGAACTAATGCCCAAGGTTTTTGACCTCAGAACACTGAACCAATATTACTGCGTGGGTTTTCCGATAGTTGTGCTGTATAGCGCTCTCCCTGAAGTGTTTTCAGGTTGTACGGCATGTCTGACATGTCGTTCTACATTCTGGGAGATTTTTCGGGGTGTTTCGCTCCGTGTGCTGGGAGCACCTCTGTGAACTGAAGACCGCGTGCCGGACAACACGCGGTACAACCCAAAAACCCATCGGAATGCTAAACTTAAGGTCTTGGGTTTGATTCCAAAGCTGCCATCCATTTGAATCCCCCACGCCTATGTTATTACATCACGAATGCGCTCAGTCCAGTCACCAATTGCATAAAAAATGGTAACAAAGTTAATTTAATTGATGAAGCCACAAATTAGGCAACCTCACGGTCATCATTTGATTATTATCCAAAGAATACACACGGTGTCATTTTAAGGTAATGATAGTTTTAGAACCTATGGCTTATTTTTGGAATATTTCAGTGGCTGAACACAAAATGTAATGCACCCACCATCCCCCAACAATTATAAAAAAAAAGCCAGTTTGGCTGAGTGTCCAACACTGGTATTTTATGAGCATTTCTTCTTTTTGAAGAAAGGCAGGCATATTTTTAAAATAATAATTACAGCCCCAATCCATTGATAAACTATGCCAAAGTAGAATGCCACTTAATGATTATACTAATGATGACCCACATCTTGGTAGCATCTGAAATTGAAATTTACCATCTGAAATTGTGGAACTGCCCATATGCATTCTCTGCGAGGGTTAAATTTGCGTGTGTCGTCTTCCTCTGGGGAATTAGCCAACGGAAACATTGTCAATTCTCGGCACACGAGTATAGGGCGTGTGTGTGTGTGCGGGGCTTACGGTGGAGCAGCAATATAGCGGTTAGCGCACTGCGCTACGAATCCGATCCGAGTTCGATTCCCGACAAGGGCCAACGCCAGTGACGATCATTATAATAGGTTCTGGGCCTCCCCTAGGTCGACTCAGCCTTAAACGAGTACCTGGTGCGGTGTGTAAATATCGCCACTCGGGAGACAAAGGTGGCTAGCATAGTGTTTTGGCCACCCACCCCCTCGTGTGCCGTTTCCAGCCTTCATAGCTGCTCGCTAAAAGCATTTGCCCCAGCATTCTGTTAAGGCTATACGGGGGATCTTTTTCTCTTGTGGCTGCCGGTGCCCTAAGCGTCACGCCCGTCGGTTGCTTCTGAATGCTCAATACGAGTTGCTTAATTTGTACCCACAGGGTGTACAATCATGGCGTCGGCAAGTGAGCGCTACGGACCCAAAGACGCGGCGGACCAGAATTTCGACTACATGTTCAAGCTGCTCATCATCGGCAACAGCAGCGTGGGGAAGACGTCCTTCCTTTTCCGTTACGCCGACGAGTCGTTCACCTCGGCCTTCGTGAGCACGGTGGGCATCGACTTCAAAGTGAAGACCGTCTATCGCAACGAGAAGCGCATCAAGCTGCAGATCTGGGTACGTGCTATGAAATCGTCATTCGTCTCCTCGTACCACCGTCATGGTCATCGTCATCACATCGCCATCGTTACCATCATCATTGCCGTCATCAGCATCATTGTCATAATCCTCATTATTGCCATAATCCTCATTATTATCAGCACCTATTAGCCCGGTTGGCTATGTACGGTGTGAAAGAAGTTAAACATACATTCATCGTTGTAAGCGTCATTGTTATCCTCGTCGCAATCATCACTCTCGGACACATTTCTGCTGTGCTTTTCACACTGATGGTGATTTATTGTGCCCATCAACAAAATACTGTAGCCCACCTTTAAGGCTGTGTTTTAATAAATGTGTTCCTGGAAAAAGGGATATTGTGACACGGACAAACGAATTCACATTTAACTGCATTCTCGACGTAATGTGATTAGATGTTGTGTCTTCACGTGTCTAATGGAGGAAGACCACAAATGTGTTATTTTTCACATGAAATCCACTGAAAGGAAAATGCTGTAATGTGAATTCAATCAATTTTCTATAGCTGGCATGCCCTGACTCCAATATATATCTCCTGCATACAAAATAGATTGCACTCTAATGACTGCAATTATGTAATTACTGCACTCCGGAGTACAATAGTATTTAGAAGCCACGGATTTTATATAATTGTCACTTAAACCATGCAATGTGACAAATACCGCACTGCTTGTGCTTTTGCTACAGGACAATAATGTTTAGTTCTATATCATAATAGCATCATCGTTTATGCAGATTGGATTTCACAATTGCTGAGGAAATACCACTTGGAAGGCAGCCAGGCGGTTGAACCTGTGCCAACAATTGCTCATGCTCTGCAGTCCTCTATCTATTAAGATGATTTTAACCTTAATCCGACTGCCACTATCTGCCCTGAACAATTAACTGGCCACACCCAGTGCAGTATCTGTACCTGGTGGAACCTTAATTTCATTACGTTATCCTATGCATCTAAAAACCAACATTTCTTAAATTATTGTTCTTCAAACAATGTAGTATCACAAATTTTGTGCCACATGTCCTTCGGGTATGCTTGTTCATGGACATTATTTTGAAATGAGATTTGTTTGATTAATAAGGAGGAGATTAATGAATCCAATCCTTATTTGTAAGTTGCTTGTATTCCAAAATTAATTTAAGTAGACGGTACAAAAAGCTCGAGTACGTTTTTTGTTTTGACACTCACTGTGGATCTGATCATTACTCTCTGGTTCTTTCGGTAAAGTCACGTAAAAAAAAATCACGACGTTTCGGGCGCAACACAAGCGCTCGTCATCAAATGACGAGCGCCCGAAACGTCGTGCTTTTTTAAATTCTTTTTTTTCACCTACGTGACTTTACCGAAAGATTCAAAGAGTATGGATCCTTGCAGTCACGAAAACTTCAAATCTAGAATGATTTGATCATTCTTCAGTACAACACAGAGTAGTTGTTGACAGACAATCTGCAGCGGCATACGAGAGCTCTCATCTTGAATGCATGGACCTTCTGTTTTCTCTACAAAATGCAAAAAAAAATCCAATCATCCCACTCAGGACCCTCCTAGCAAGAGGACCCTCTAAAACCCAATGAATGATGCCTGCATATGAAAGCATATTCTTCTCGTGCCGTACTGCGATAAGAACTCGGCCACCTGAGTTTGATTTGAGACCATGCATGGCTAACGTCAGCGGTGAGTGATGTCTGAACCGGTCTCAGGGTCTCTACCATTCCTCCAATACACACCGGTGAACATGGGGAATTACGTGTGACCATACTTTACCATGCTGGTCTGGAACTCGCATTGCATGGGGAGGACTGCATCCAGGGGTGGTTTAACGGAGAGCTTTGCAAATTCTGAAATTATTCATGACATTGGGTATCCAATCTTTCTCTGCTGAGCCACTGTGTAATTGTAGTACTGACAATTAACTGTCACAGTTTGCAGTGGCCTTCAGCAGTAGATTGACAGACGGGTCTATACATAATTTTATATAGATGCACACTTCTGTATCGCCTGCATATATACTCTTACATGCACTGTAGACGTATGCAGAAATGGTGAAATGCATTTTACGTGTTTCTGGCCTGTCGCTTATCGCTATGGAAACGTGGCAGCTGTGCACTCTCTCGTGTGTCTCTACCCACTAATGCAATTGGGGGCCTTGGTGAAGCTGGCCGGAGCTGATGGGGAGCAAACACACACACACACACAGACACTCTCCCAAGAGCAAGTGTCATTCAGTGAAAAAACAAAACGGAGTGCGTGTATGTGCTCCGTTTTATTGACTGAAATGGCACAGCAAAGGTCAGCTCCGTTACACGAAAAGCGTAGAAAACAAAGCGAATTCCGCATAGGTTTTCTATAGTGTGATTAAGCAATGTTTTAAGTTGTTGGAGGCAATTGGTTTTAAAACGTGGCATCGATCATTTATAGCGGGGTTAAACACGGCCTCATTTGCATGACGTCAATACGTTTTGTTCTGCATGATAGAAAAGGTTGCCTCTGGTCATATCGCCCGGCATCTGCCCAGTCTCAGCGGATCTTGGAAGCTAAGCAGGTCAAGCCTGGTTAGTGCTTCAGTGAGTGACCGCCATGCATAGCAAAGGTGTCAAGGGCTACTTTCGGGTCTATGTTGTCAGAAGGGCAGTGCAGAATATCAATTATTGAACTGTACTATGCTCCTCACTATCACAAATTAATATTGAGCAGTACGTAATATTTTGATCTGTTAAATGTACATGTATTATAATGTTATATTATGTCATTGTAATATAGTATGCATAAAATTTGCATCCAGAGTGTGCACACATATCATTTACTGCACGTGTTATTGTGTAACTGCAAGGCTACAAAAATGGCGCCAAGAGCTTCCTAACAAATGCATCCATGAGTCATATTTAATTTAAAATTGCTTCCTTTGTCGCACACGAAGGACAGATTTTCACTCGTGAGCCATTTTGCGAGTGAGAAAGGTTGAGTCGGTGCCTAAATATAAACATAACTCACGAATTTACTTCTTTGTGTTCATCTTCAGCCCACTGGTGTCATGACCACCTGCAGTCCGCAGTACTGTGTTTAAAAGTAACAAGGAGCCTCGCTTTAATTGCTCCTGCTAATTAATGTGTACGTGCTTGTGGACGCGCAAAGTGACACCGTGCAATTACTGAACCGCGGAACAGTGCCAGTAATTTTAATAACATCTACGTTTAAGAAGCGAGGATTACGACAATTGTGGGTGGAACGGTGACACGGTGGTTAGCGTACTGGCACTGTGAGTTTTGGATGCTGGTAACATTGGTGCAGAGTGATATCTGAATTGGTCCTAGACTCCCCCCCCCCACACTCCAAACCCCCATATGGTCTTGTAAGATATGTAAATGTGAGCCAATCTATTGCATTATCAATTTGTTAATTTTAACCACACTGTCACCGAGTCACCGCTTCATAATGGTGCCTCGAAATAACATGGCATCCTTCGTATGATGCTGTTTTGTATAATTAACAGTCTTGGATATACACTGTAGTGCTATTGATGAGGATTATCCAGAGCCGATGATTTACTTAAATGCACCTGAAGCTACAGATTCTACGGGCGCTGGGGAGTTTGGCATCGATTGGGGTTAAATAAAAATGGGAAGGTGCAGCCCTGCAATTTGCTCATTCGCGCAAACACTAGAGGGCATTTGGTCTACTCTTTCACGTTCGTTGGCCAGACATTTGCTGATTGACCTGCCTATTGAACAGTTGTGGTGTATCCATGTATAGCGCTGGATGGCCAGAGGTTGAGGGGATTTTGAGAAAATTGCATCATTGTTTCAACTGCCATACCGGAAGATGTAATCGAACCGGTGACCTTCTGCGTTCAAGTCCAGTGTGAGAACCATTACACCGCGTCATCTCTATATTTGGAGTAAGCCACCTTTTTAATATCCCGCCATGCCAAGGCGTGAGCTATAAATCTGCCTACATTTTTTCACAGTGTGGATGGATTAGAGAACACGCGCGTTTTAACGACATGATTCACACTTAAGAAAAGTAAGTGGGCTTGGGCAGCACAAGTCCCACGAAGAGATGATGGCCAATGGTGAAGAATAATGACGCAGTGGCGACCAAGGAATGGAATGCATCTCAGGGGACGTCTACCGAGGAAACGGAGCGATGGAATCTGCTCGTGTGCAGGTGCTTAGGTGGATTTATTACATCATGGGATTGTTGAGAGTTAATATCGACAGCTTGGGGGGGGAGGCCTCTGTCTAGGAGTGGATTGATTATGGCTGCTGATGATCATGATGAATGGACCACACACTGTTTTTTATGTGCTCCGTATAATGCATCAATGTAAAAACAACAACTTGAAAGTGCATATTTAGAGGGTGAGCGGTGGATTTGGGTGGCCTAATACCATTGCAGGAGGTTGAGCCGTTGCCGCTGAGACCCCGGGTTTTAATCTGGGCATTCTCCCGTGATTAAGCGGAGTTGTCAGGCCTAGTGAAATGAGATGTTTGTTGGCACCTAAGAAAATTCACGGAAAGGGCTTTTTTGTCGTCTATTAGAAGCAGACTAACAGATTTAAGTGCCTTTTTGAAACCTGAACTTGTAATGAGATGGCAACATACCAATGCCACCTAAAGAAGACCTTTTTTAATCTTCTGTGACACGTGGATCAGAAACGTGGACGTTGGTGAAGAAAATGTAACAAATTTTGTCAAATTTTGATTTAAAGCTTTCGGGACTGCAGGGATTCATATTCTTGGTTCTTTCGGTAAAGTCACGTAGAAGGGAAATAATGAAACAATAAAAATGCCCACGACGCTTCGACTGCAACACAAGCAATCGTCATCAGGCTTGTGTTGCAGTCGAAACGTCGTGAGAATTTTTATTGTTTCATATTTTTATTATTTTATTATTTCCCTTCTACGTGACTTTACCGAAAGAACCAAGAATATAAATTCTGACAAGTGAACAAAGGACCATCGAGAGTTGCATATCTGGAATT